AAAATGAGTTTTCATTATGATAGGAACTGCAAACTTTAATATCGATTTGCTTTCATTTTGTTAACCGACTTTGCTCGGGAAGGTAACCCGAAATTAAACCTCCTTTATTTTTCATCCGTTACCACATTGGCTGCTAGCTGTGTTGGAATTTCCCCTCACGATGTTTCACACCAACGAGACTTTACTCAAATTAAGTGTTTCATTACTCGATTTTAGTCTCTAGTATTTTGATTATCTTTTTTTATAATTTTTTTTTAAGTTATCATTTTTTTCATGATTATGCTACTCTTTATACTACAGTGTGCAACAACTGGGTGGTGTGCAACAATTGTCAAATTACCCTATATGGTGTGGATATCAGATTTTCTGAGGGTTTATTATCAATTGACAAACACAAAATACAAATTATGATTTGGAGACAGTCAATTTGCGGTTATTGGCTACCTGAGCCCCTATAGTGCAGCGAGAAGAATCTTGGACCCAAAACATAATTTCCCTTCCGACTTCCTGATCTCCATAAACCTTATTTACTTCTTCAATTTCCGCATATTTCTAAAATATAACAATACATATCTGCAAAATGTTGGTCGGTAAATGCTGGGTAATGCGCAATACAGATCCCATTGAGATCACTAGCCTCTTCCCAACAACTCCTATCCCTACCTCCCCGTGGTACCGGCCGGGAACTGTGAGCAACCTTAGGGATGATCGGGTAACCAACCCTGGTGGGAACTTTGGTCATAGGCTTCCAGGGAAGGGGGGGGGGGGGTTTGCTTCGGCAAGCCTGAGCGTCTATTCAGGTTGATGATCAAGGGCCAATTCTTCAACTTTAGCATATTCAACGTGCACAGCCCTCACTTCGGAAGCACTGATGATGACAAGGACGCATTTAACGTGCAGCTCGACCGCGAGTACGATCGCTGCCCAAGCCATGACGTCAAGATCATCATAGGAGACCTACACACTTAGATTTTTTCGCCGATATGGGCACCACCGAGCAGCTCGGCATTTTATTTTGCTGGATCTCAGTGAAAAACTTGCCGAGATTTAGCTAACAAACGGGAATTTTGCCGAGATCTCAGCTAACAAACATATTTTTTGCTGTATTTCCAGCAAAATAAAATGCCGAGCTGCTCGGTGGTGCGCATCTTGGCAAAAAAAATCTAAGTGTGTAAACGCTCAGGTAGACCAGGAGGAGGAATTCAGACCGACGATTGGAAAGTTCAGCGCCCACCAGCTGACGAACGGGATCGGCCTACCACTCATCGATTTCGCCGCCTCCAAGAACATGGCCATACGTAGCACCTTTTCCAACACAGCCTCCCTTATCGTTACACTTGGAGATCACCACAGCAGACGGAATCGCAAATCGACCACGTTCTGATTGATGGACGGCACTTCTCCGACATTATCGACGTCAGGACCTATCGTGGCGCTAACATCGACTCTGACCACTACATGCTGATGGACAAAATGCGCCCAAAACTTTCCGTCATCAACAATGTACGATACCGACGCCCGCTACGGTACAACCTAGAGCGACTGAAGCAACCGGATGTCGCCTTAGCATACACGCAGAATCTCGAGGCAGCGTTGCCAGAGGAGGGTGAGCTCGATGTGCCCCCTCTAGAGGACTGCTGGAGTACACACCAAGCAGCCATCACCGACGCAGCCGAGAGCACCATCGGGTACCTGGAAAGAAGTCGACGGAATGAATGATTCGACGAGAAGTGCAGAGCGATTTTGGAGGAGAAGAATGCAGCGCGGGCGGTAATGCTGCAGCATGGAACCCGACAGAACGTGGAACGGCATAAACAGAACCGAAAACAGCAGACCCGCATCTTTCGGGAGAAAAAACGCCGGTTGGAAGAAGCGGAGTGCGAGGAAATGGAACTGCTGTGCCGTTCCCAAGAAACATGGAAGTTCTACCAGAAGCTCAACGCATCCCGCAACGGCTTCGTACCGCGAGCCGAAATGTGCTAGGATAAGGACGGGAGCCTCTTGACGGACGGACGTGAGGTGATTGAAAGGTGGAAGCAGTACTTCGTGGCGCACCTGAATGGCGAGGAGAGTGTGGGCACGAGAGACCAGCGCAATGCAGGAAATGACTACGTCAGTGCAGCAGAAGACGGAACTAACCCAGCTCCCACGCTGAGGGAAGTTAAGAATACCATTCAGCAGCTCAAAAACAACAAAGCAGCTGGTAAGGATGGTATAGCAGTCGAACTCATCAACATGGGCCCAGAAAAGTTGGCCACCTGCCTGCACCGGATAATAGTCAGGATCTGGGAAACCGAACAGCTACCGGAGGAGTAGAAGGAAGGGGTAATCTGTCCCATTCACAAGAAAGGAGACCATTTGGAATGTGAGAACTTCAGAGCGATCACCATTTTGAATGCCGCCTACAAAGTGCTATCCCAGATCATCTTCCGTCGTCTATCACCTAAAATGACCGAGTTCGTGGGAAGTTATCAAGCCGGTTTCATCGACAGCCGATCGACAACGGACCAGATCTTCACCGTACGGCAAATCCTCCAGAAATGCCGTGAATACCAGGTCCCAACGCATCATTTGTTCATCGACTTTAAGGCGGAATACGACAGTATCGACCGCAAAGAGCTATGGAAAATCATGGACGAGAACGGCTTTCCTGGGAAGCTGATCAGACTGATCAAAGCAAAGATGGACGGTGTGCAAAATTGCGTAAGGGTTTCGGGTGAACTATCCAGTTCATTTGAATCTCGCCGGGGACTGCGACAAGGTCACGGACTCTCATGCCTACTCTTCAACATCGCTCTAGACGGTGTAATCGACGGGCTCAACAGCCAGAGTACGATTTTCACGAAATCCGGTCAATTTGTGTGCTTTGCGGACGACATGGACATTATCGCAAGAACATTTGGAACGGTGGCAGAACTATACACTTGGCTGAAACACGAACCAGCAAAGGTCGAACTGGTGGTGAATGCGTCAAAAACAACGTACATGCTAGTAGGCGGAACCGAACATGACAGGATTCGTCTAGCAAGTAATGTCACGATAGACGGGGATACTTTCGAGGTAGTCGAGGAACTTGTTTACCTTGGATCCTTACTGACGGCTGACAACAATGTGAGTCGTGAAATACGAAGGCGCATCATCCGTGGAATTCGTGCCTACTACGGGCTCCAGAAGAAAGAACGGTCAAAAAAGATTCACCCCCGCACCAAATGTACCATGTACAGAACGCTAATAAGACCGGTGGTCCTCTATGGACACGAGACATGGACTATGCTCGAGGAGGATCTGCAAGCACTCGGAGTTTTCGAGCGACGTGTGCTAAGGACGATCTTTGGCGGTGTGCAGGAGAACGGTGAGTGGCGGCGAAGAATGAACCAGCATCCAGAAGGTGGCCAAAGCCGGAAGGATGCGATGGGCAGGGCTTGTTGCAAGAATGCCGGACAACAACCCTGCAAAGTTGGTGTTCGCTACTGATCCGGTTGGCACAAGAAGGCGTGGAGCGCAGAGAGCACGATGGGCGGACCAGGTAGAGCGTGATCTAGCGAGCATTGGGCATGACCGAGGATAGAGAGCGGCAGCCGCAAACCGAGTATTGTGGCGTACTATTGTTGATTATGTCTTATCTTAAATGTGATGTTGTACACATAAATCTAATATGTATGTATCTGCAAAATGTATGTGGGAAAAATGACTTCATAGAATTAAAATGTCTTGAAATCTGGTATCCCTGCCTTGAAATCAACCAATAAAACAACCATTTTATAAGACGTGAGCATGTAGCAAAGAATTAAATAAAAGATGCATGCCTATTATCAACCGTAAACAGGTAATATATTAAGAAAATTTAAAATCACAGCAAATTGAAATGCAAAAATAAATTGCTCCGCTATTTATTTCCTATATTATCAGGGGCGGGCAGCCCCCCCTCTCCCACCTTATTTATGCCAATGAATATAAAATGCGAAGAAAGGATAAGAGCATGGTGAAACAGCTTTGTCACTATATGGGAGCAGATCGCATGGCGGTGGATAGACGACATCACCTATCGCGCAAATCGGGGATTGCTGTATTATTTTCGTACAGCAACTTACATCCAAAGCAAACCTATTAATTTGAGTTCAGATACAAAGGAGATCAAACATCCAAGAAGAAGATGAAGGAGAAAACCGAAAACAACGCTGCCCATAAATGAAGATCATAACTACACGGCCACAGAGAATAACTCAGACAGAGAGTCTCGTACTCAGAGGTATGTACAAATTTCTAAAAACTGCAGGAACTCATCCTTGAGTACCTGCAGTTTTTAGAAATGTTTCATACAACTGAGTAGAAGTGACTCTCTCTGAGTTATTCTCATTGGCTAGTTTTGGCGATTTGACATGACTGGAATAATATCCGCTTCTTTTAATATGGGCAGAACGAAGAAGGAGACGACAAATATGGTTTCCTAATAAACCACTATTTGAAATTCTTACAACACTTTCTTCACAACTTATGACATTTTTTTATTAAATGAACATCTTTTTACTGACAGTTTTTCCCTGCACTCTTTTCGTGGCGCGTGTTGATTTTGATTCCTACTTCACACTCAGCCACCACTATTGAGCAATCGTAAAACACCGACAGTGGGCAAGTGGCAATCAAACATTTTTCCATCGTCATTTTCCAATTACCGTAACGAATCGAGTGAATTACAAGATTGAGCCACACCAATGTCGATAACCGAACAATTACGAAACAATTAAATCATTCAAAACCGATTATTCAATTGGGGCACTGAAAACCCAGCGTTACTTAACGTGTACGTACACACAATGTCTTCCTGTTTTTGGCTACACGTGTTTTTTTGGTTTCAGTTGGGACGTAACTAGCACGTTCTGTAGGGATATTAAACAACTGATGAGGTCGGGTTGCCAAACACGGGAAGGCACTGCAGTACAATTGACAAAGAGCCAGTGATTCAACGGAATATACATCTGAAAGCTGAGTGAGCTACTTACCTTCATTATGTCGCTGTTTCCGTATTTCGATGGGGTGCAATGCTATAGTTGTTACGGTGCTCGGTTATTGTGTCCTAATTTGATCCTTGATTCCGGAAAGTAGAAACGGTCTTCTGCCAAGCGTCAGGCAGGAAGCCGAACACAATGGAAAATGATTAATTACAAAGACGACAGAATTAGTTTGCAGCACTTCCTTCGCGTAAAGTTAACACTGTTGTTGTTGGTGTTGTTGTTGTTGTTTAGCGCTCAACTTCACCAGCGATGATGACGAGGACACTTTCTCGAAAAATATACACTTTCGAACTTTATCCCTTTCGCTTGGCTGGGACTCTCTGCAACACTTTTTCTTGCCAAAAATGATCGAAATTTCACTTCATTCAGCGCTTGAATTAAAGACAAACTAAGAAGAGAAATAATGAAACCGGCGGAAAGCATGCAATACAATCTGAGCTTCAATTTGAAAAATGTAACTAAGCTTGTGTGTTGTGTATTAGGTACTGTTTTCAAGTTTTGGATTTTTTGTTGTTGCGCTTTTTCTGTTGTTGATTCTCGTTGAATGGAATGCAAATATCATTTGTATTTAATATATGCCGTCGAGTGAGCTTTAGGCGAGGAAACATAATGTCATTCATCACTTGCGCATTTTATCATTTCACACTTTTTTCCGGTGTCGGATGGGTAGGCGAATGATGTTGTACCAAGTTGTGCTTTGTGCGCCTTTCCTCCCTTTTTTTTCCGTGCCGGCAAAGTGAAATGTGCTTCTGTTGTGTTGCGCTGTGTTGCGTTGTGTTGGGATTGGGTTTCTCTATCGCGATTGGATTACCCCGCTCTGGGTGGCTGTTTAAGGTTAATATTTGAACACCGTGAAACGGTCCGTGTGTGAGCTATGATGGTTACATAACTGAGCATATCCAACTTTAAGATATATGACTGAAACGAGTGAGTCGGTGTTTTTGCTGAATGAATCAAGGTCAGTATTGTTGAATGATTTATTTGAACTCGGATATAAAAGTAACCATACTGCCCAAGTAACCAATATGCCAACTTATTCGCAATATAAGGTTGACATACGACTAATAATAGTCATAAACATTAAGTTCTTTGTTTCGTTTGACCTTTCCAGCCCATGGCTTAAAGTCTCGACAATAAACAAAACTTACTCATGTGATTTGGCCTGGCTTCTTTGAATTGTGGTTTACGGATCATTTTTATAAGAAGTTCTACCAAACTCTTTTTGGGGCCTTAGAAAGCCTAGTTAGCTAAGGTATAGAATTACCAAGCCGGAGGCTGTTTGTTCGATTCCCGGCCCGGCATAGAAAATGATTTGGTTTGACGATTTCCTCGTCTTCCCTGGTTATAGAGAATTATTGTGCTTGCCGTCACAATATCAGCTACAATCGTCAAAACTGATGCGACGAAGAGACTGTTAGCTTTCTTTTTCTGTTGAAGTCGAGCGGCTTCGCAGTATTCTAGCACCTCAGTCGACGTCTACAAACAAATTTTCTATGGTTTGTCTCTTTTTTTCCCGTCGTGTCATTCGTCTTTGTTTCAAGCTTCGGTGAAGCGGACGAGTGAAAGAGCGCTCAACTTTGATAGTTTCGTCTTTCATGAAACACATCAACCGAGGTTTCATGATGTATATATATAAATCATATCTGACGTGAAATCACTTGACGATTACACGTAATATGTTTAATTTATCTTCCATCCACAACTTCATCGGAAAAAAAGTTTCGAAAATGGAACATAACGCATATTAAACAAACTGACAGAGCAGGTTACAGTTTCGGTGAAAGGGATTGAGAGCCATAATGCGGCTTCGTTTCAACTCGAAAATCAAAGTAACAACGAGAAAATCCACAGCTAGTCCTCAAGTTTTACATGCATTTACTCAAATTCGGAAGAACACAGGTCACTCATAGCCTTAGTAACTTTTCCTCAAATAGCTACGTTATTATGAAGAAAAATTGCTCAGTCTTCGAGTTCCATCAAAGACTGAATGAAATTTTAATCGATTTTCTTCATATTCTAGCAAATTTTTGAGGAGAAACTTCTTTTTTTAGATATGGGTTCCCAAATAAACGTTTTCCATACAACGTCGATACTGTAAATGCATTAAAAATACCCTGATTAATTCAGCTATTGATAACATGTATCTTTCTCGTATAGTATTAACACAGATCACAGATCAATGTATGATACTCAATATCCGAGGAAATTAATAATCAATATGTTTGGAAATTAATTTACAATCCAACACGGCAATTCAAAAACTTAAAATTTAGGATGAGTTTTCAAATAGCAGCTCCACACCAAACGACGTATTGGGCAAAAAAAAAACTTGACCTCCATCGATTTGCATGAAACTTTGCATATTTGTAATTTATGGGCTATGATTCAGATTTTCCTAAAATTCAACCATCTTGAACCTTGAAAATTGTTTACAATAGCGTCTTTGGATTTTTAAAACCTTGTAGCTCGGAAACGGATCGAAATGACGTATGAAGTTTTAAGTAATTTCGTGTAAAACTTTAAAAAAAAACCCTAAACATCTCAAAATGGCCTTGCCGGGTTTTTTTTTAAGTTTTAAATGATTAATTCAAACTTTTGATACTTTTAAAAATATAGACACTTTTTTTTCATGATTTTTTTGTCGATCTTGTTTTCCGTACAGAGTACCAATGCTACCAACGCCGGGAAGGCAGGACCCTACCTATCGACCCGTCAACTCATGTACCAGGGATTAACGAGTTTACTTCCTACATTAGAAAACTGGGATTGAACAAAGGCCCTTGGGAGTGGGAGGTAGTCACGTTTACCACAACACCACAACACCACCAGCACCAAAAATATAGACTCTTAAAAATTGACAAAAATTATGAAAAATGAACTTTTTTTATAATTTTTTAAACTTTTTGTTAAAACGTTTGTTAAAATAATAAAAATAAGAATAGAATAAATCTACAAGAAAAACAATGCTTGACATTTTAAGATTTTCTATGAAAATAAAACCCAAAAAATAACAAAAAAATTACCAAAAGTTTTAAATTTTCATATTCTATTTTTGGTTTTTCTTTTCAATATCGGCAAGGGTATTTTACGATATGTGGGTTATAATGATTTTTTAAATTTTTTTCTACTATAAAATTTAAAAAAATTGTTTAATTTTCCTTAAAAAGAAACTATTTTGCTTTACAACTTTGTCTCAGACGTAGTTTTGATCAGAAATGCCGATTATTGGATTTTTCACTTTATTTTTAAACTTTTACCGAAGAGTTCTGCAGATCAAAATTTACCGAACGGCGGAAGCCTGGTGTGTGAGTAACAATAACCAGGAGTGGAGTAGCCTTAATGCAAATGTGTCTACAATTTACTCATAATCCCCAAATTAAAATTTGAATATAATACTCCACAAATGGAGAATCTGATTATGTGTTTGCTTGATTTACCAACTGATAGTTGATACGAAATTGTCGGCTATGTAGTGTGTCAACTTTCACATTTCGTTTCATTAAAAAATGGAATAAGGCACATCTACCCCTCAAAGGTAAACGCTCCGAGATTTGCAAATTTGCTATGGTCTACTCTTCTATAATCCCTAAGCCACAATTTTCCCCGACCATAGCGCACACGAAAGGTGACTAATACACTTTAAATTGAGCGCTTTACAATTGACAGCTCAATATTAACAAGGCTACCGAAAAAAAACTTACAATTGAGTAAAATTTTACTCAGTATTGTGAAAAATCCCTAGTAAACGGGTACCATACACAAACAGTACCATATATGGTATGATCATATCACATATAATTTGAATGAAATCCAGAATTGGGATCTTTAATTTTGAAAAATATACCGGTTTTTATATATCATCTGAAAGAGCTTCGTTTTCTGAGCAGAGCGATATTGTTTTCGAACCCACACACTTTCATCTTGATTTTCAAATCAAGATTTAAAGCAAAATAATAACTTCACTGTTTGACACTAAACTGACAAACTGACAGCTCACTCCCATACAAAGTGACCCAAGGGGCGCTAATAAGGTGATTTTTGCAAATGTAATCGTACTTATTTAAAATAGTTCCAGTGTACCAAAAATGATGAAATTTTGGGTTTGGGTTCCATTTTTAGTGCAAATTACGAATATGCATTTACCTAAATACCCTTAAAGAACCCAATTAGTGGTTAGGCACTTGTTAAGGTTATTGTTTAGGCGGAATTAGATTTTAAATTATTCACCACGGCGGACAACATCATGCACTACTTTTTCCAATGCTTGATCATAAACGTACACGGTAAGAAAAAAGTACCCAAAAGTAAGTTCTTCTCACTTATCTCGGCACTATAGTACAGGAACTCAAAATTAGGTAAACCGGGTCAAAGTAGTTTTCATTTACTACACTACACATGACTTTCTACCCAAAAGTAAGTTAGTTGTACCCAAAAGTAAGTAAATATGATTACACTCAACGTTGAGTTCCCACACTCTCCTACCCCTGTTGGGTGGTTTGCTCTTCCGTTTTTTTTTAAAAAATTCTCACATGTAGCTTGAGAACATTCTGGTGAACTCAAATCTGTATACACGGCCACTGAGAATAGCTCAGGCGGCCACTGAGAATAACTCAGGTAGAGAGTCAGTTCTACTCAGAGATTAGGAGAAATTTCTAGAAGCAGCAGGTACTCAGCGCTGAGTTCCAGCATTTTTAGAAATTTCTCCTAAACTCTGAGTAGAACTGACTCTTTATCTGAGTTATTCTCAGTGTCCGTGAAAGCCGAATATCCAAATTTAAGTTAACGTTTCTAAGGGTTTTTACAGTTTGCTTCCTGTCAGTTGCCAATCTGGTATATAAAGAGGGTTGGCAGATATAATCTACCTGTGCCTTTATTTGTTTGGTTCGCCTTTAAGCTAATAGGACGTTCAAACTATAGGTGATCTCACGTAATATACACACTTAGCTTTTTCGCCAGCTCGGCAATTTTTTACCGAGATTTTCACAGCCGAGCGCTCGGCAATCAGTTTTACTGAGATCTCAGCAAACATGTCGTTTGTTTGCTGAGATTCAGCAAAACATTTTCCCAGACTC